ACATGTATGAAAGCATGCAGTAACTGTGAGTATGTTATGCATGTTAATGGAAAGGTTATGACTCTAGATATGCTTATTGGTTGTCGAGCTATGGCTTATTTATATGAGTATGATAGTCTACTAATTCCCGCGGAGTTCCTGGCCAACGCGCTGTGTGCTAAGTCAGGGAGCATGAGTACTCCTGACCGTTGGTATATGAGATAAACAGGCCGCCAGAGCAATTAGTAGACGGGCCGTATTTGACCGAGAGCGAGTCTTACATACGAGTCCGAAAATTCTAGATAAGTATATCGAAGGAGAGTCAGTAACCTAGCTGGAGGTAGCTGAGATACCTCATTAACGAACAGATGACCCTAGTAAGAGAACTAGGAGTCAGTGGTGAATAAAATGTAAAAACACCTGGAAAGATTAGTTATGAACCCGTGAATGATAAGCTAGCTACTTACTGAGTAATCTAATTACTCATCAGAATTATTATAACTTTTCTTTCCAGATGTAGATGCTGCAGGCCAGCCGAGGACGAGACCAGCGGGCTAGAGACTACTGGGAATCCATCTCTGGGTCTGTTATGTAATTATGTTTTCGTTGTCCAGAGTTTACCTTAGTCGTTTTAAGTTTTTTTTTAAAAGTACTGTTTTTTTTTTAATATTTTACTGGATGTTTTTAGAAATATTTTGAATTTTATGATTGGATATCAGAGTCTCTTAATATTGTCGATGGTAACTCCTGTTAATCGCGTTGACGATGAGTGGGTGTTACAATAACCATTCATAGATAAGGTATGAACTACCATAAAAGTTATTTAGTAGATACGGTACGAATTAAGATCACAAAGTTTGATATTTCAATTTCTTACTCCTGAAATGTTGAACTAAAAAAATGAAAATTTAGAGATCTATTAGACATTGTCCTAAGTTTATTGACAAAATAGATATAAAGTTGAAAGTTTGCGAGGGACCAAATATATAATTTAGATAAATTTAAATGTCCAATGAGCTTTTAATCTTACGTGATCTTACACACTCTTTATGTGATCTTACATCGATTGGAGAGGAGAACAAAACATTCCTCATAAGGGTATGTAAACAGGAGAACGAAACATTTTTTATAAAGATGTGAAAATCTCTCTCTAGCACGTTATAAAAATCTTGAAGGGAAATCTGAGAGGGAAATCCCAAAGATGATAATATATGCTAACGGTGAGCTTGAGCCGTTAGAAATGGTATCAGATATTGATACCGGGCAATGTGTCAACGAGGGGGCTGAACCCCGAAAAGGAGTGGACACAAGGCGGTGTGCATGTAAGGATGTTGGGCCCCGAAGTTAGGTGGATTGGGGGGAAGGGGGGGGGGGATCCCATATCGATTGGAGAAGGGAACAACTGCTAGCGAGGACGCTGGGCCCTGAAGGGGGTGGATGTTGAGATCCCACATCAGTTGGGGACGAGAATAAAACATTCTTTAAATGGTGTGGAAACAGGAGAACGAAACATTCTTTATACCGGTTTCAAAACCTCTCCCTAACTGACACGTTTTAAATACCTTGAGGGGAAGCTAGAAACGAAAAATACAAAGAGACAATATCAACTAGCAATGAGCTTAGATCGTTACACTTTATATGGTATGTTCTTACTCCATCTCCCTCCTATAACATTAAATGTCCAATAAGAATTATTATTAAATTTATTATGATTTTATACATTTTTTTAATAGAAACTATATTAAAAAGTGATTTTTTTAGTAAAAATTTATTTGAAAAGAAATTCCTGGTCTAAATCTGAGGAATCTTCTGTCTAATCACATATAAAAAAAAATGGAGGATTTTGCAGCCGATCTCCATGGAGAATCCTCTCGCTAATACCGGCAAAAATAAATAGAGGATTTTGCAACCGATCTTCATGGAAAATAATCTCTTTGATCCCCACGAAAACAAACGAAGGATTTTGCAAGAATAAAAAAAATAACGAAAATCGAGAAAGCTTCCCCACCACCGGCATTATAGACACCTCTAGAAACAATAAACAATAAGTGAAAATGTTATCCAATGATTGATACATCTCATAATTTACGGCAAGAATAGGAGTATAGAAACGTCTTAAACATACAATTCCACTTTTGTCTTCCATTACACTATTTATCAACTATAAAAGTGAAATAAACCAAGCACAAATGTGTTTATATCTATCTCTTTTTCTCTCTCGTTTCAATAAAAATGAGTTTATTTTCAACTCTTGCATTTTTCCTCTTAATTTCATTGTTCTTCCCTAGCCAATTTACTACCGTCGAAGGATCAATCTTCCAAAACCCAGAGATTATGGTCAAGATAACAAATGCTTTGAAAGTTCAAAATCAGCTCACTGTTCACTGCAAATCAGGCGATGATGACTTGGGAGTCCACGAGCTAACACCTTGGGCCCGCTACGACTTCAGCTTTCATCCAAACTTATGGGGCTCAACATTGTTTTACTGTTCCTTCCAATGGCCTGGCTCGTTTCATTACTTCGATATATACAAAGATAAGAGAGATAGAAAGAATTGCGAAGATGTTCTTTGTTCGTGGTTTGTGAGTGAGCAAAATGTGTGTATGTTCAACTATAAAACCAATCATTACGATATTTGTTATAAGTGGTAAGGTTGGATTTTAATTTTGAAATAAATTAATGTTTTGTTATGTTGTTCTCGTGGGTACCTTTTTTTTTTTTTTTTTTTTGAACTTATATGATTATAGTATAAGTGAACTATAAACTACGACATAAATTATGATATTAAGAATTGTTAACTTATTTTGGTCTTGATAATCAAAACAAGTATATGAGATAAAATATTGCATTTGAAGGATTTTGGCCTGTAGTAATAGTAAGGTCGAGTCTTAGAACTTAGCCTATAGTAGAGGCAAGTCGGTTAGAGTTGCTATCGAGTAAACATATACATATACAGGTTACATGTATGATTGAACAAATCTTAGTTTCAGCATAAATTATGTTCGATTAGTGGAAAAGAACCTTGTGTAAGGTCTAATGAAACCACAGAGTCAGTCCGAACATTCCATTTATTTTTCCTAACTTTGAGAGAAATTAACCGAAAATGTTTCGACTTATATAAAGAAAGGATAATACAAATATATGATATAAAAGATTTACATTAAGATAATAATATAAACATTTACATTAAGAAATGATATTAGAGGAGGGAAATATGAACATACCACTACAAATCGACATATCAATCTTTCAAGACCCACAAATTACTGTTAATATAACAAATGTTCTAAAAAATCACAATCACCTCATTGTTCACTACAAATCTGGCAATGATGACTTGAGAATCCATCAGCTCCCACCTTTAGACGGCTACGCCTTCACCTTTCGACCAAACTTCTGGGGCTCAACACAGTTTTTCTGTACCTTCCAGTGGCCTGGCTTTTCGCATTACTTTGATATCTACAAAGATAACATAGATAGAACCAAATGCAACAATACTATGTGTTTTTGGATTGTGGGAGAACAAGATATGTGTATGTTCGACTATAAAAGCAAATTGTATGATATTTGCCACATTTTGCCGCCTTAAATTGTGTGTTTTTTCTTTCTTGAAAATTTGATATGGTGTATTTGTTTTAATGAATTATAAAAACATCAATAAAATATTTAATGTATAAGAGAAATGACAAAAATGTTTAAAATTTGTACCGAACCGTGTTTGGAGTAGAAAAACATTTTTGCAAATAACCCTTGTTTACGATTCTTTGAAACTTTTAGAGATATCTATGGGGCGGGACGATAAAGCCTTCCCCATTCCAAGACATCCCACCTGCTTCAATTCTCATCTCATCGAAATTTTCAATTTAATTTTGCGAGAATCAGGGTAGGATTCTCCGAAGATCATTTGTAGGATCATGTTTCTGTATAAAGTTTTTCTCCATTTTTATTCGTTCCAAAAAAAAATCAATGAATAGTGTTTATAAGCATAAAAATCAAAGGCAAAAAACCGAACAATTATCAAACGAGCTTTAATGGGTATAAAGATTATGTGAAGCATTAGAATTTTTTTTTTTTTTTTTAGAATGGCATCTCTTTCATCATCATTGGGAGCTCCAACGACCCTCTCTCTTGTATTTTTTTTTTTAGAATGACTAACAAATATTGTTCATTTTGGCCCGTTACCTATCGTCGTCAGTCTCACAGTTTTAAAAAAACATTTAATGTAGAAAGGTTTTCACACTCTTATAAGGAATGCTTCCTTCCCTCTACAACCGACGTGAGATTTCACAATCCACCCTCTTAGGGGTCCAACATCTTCACTGGTGTCACAATCGCACTCTTGATGGCAGCAGGCTTGCGATTGTGCGGCACTCACTTTCCAACGACAAGTGAACTAAGCCAATTCGTTCTTACGTCGCCTACGGGCAAGCGACGTATGCTCGAGCCTCTGGCCTCGATATAAGAGAAGGTTTTAGAAAATGAGGGCAAAGAGAGATTTTTGAAAGAGACGCTATATTAAGCAAGCAAGAGAGTAACAACAACCGCTCACAGTATATAACCTTGGGTAGGGAGAAGTTGACAATTAGTCATCCCCTACCGTACATTCTGAGGCATTTCATGTCTGGCATGGCTAGACATGATTCTTTCGAAACGTCATACTTCTTAGAAATAAAAAAGTAAAACATTAGAACATGGAAAGACATAAAGGGTTTGGGTTGTCATGGGCATGCAGCCATGAGCAACATGTCTTGGACGAGCATGATCGTGACAGCTAGCACACCATCTAGTGTCTAACTTTGATACCATTTGTAATGTCTCAAGCCAACCATTAGCATATATTTGTCTGTTTTGGCCCGTTACGTATCGATGTTAGTCTCACTGTTTTAAAACGCATCTTCTAGAGAGAGGTTTTCACACCCTTATAAGAAATGTTTCGTTCTCCTCTCCAACCCCTTTTAAATACTAAAATAAGGTCTATCATATATAGATAGTAAGATAGAGAGCGACAGATTATTCTATATCAATCGTATGCAAAACTATACAAAGAACACTTTATTCAATCCTAAAACAAATGCAAAATCTAAGCAATAGTTGGGTAACATAACCTTACAAACTCTAAAAATATATATTCTACGTTAGAAAAATGCAAGAACTATTCAGTTATCCGAAAACGAAGACTGCCCACCCGGAATTTCACGAGGCTGCGTCGTCCTTTGGGGCTAGAGTATACGTTAAAGCTGGAATATGATCGTCGTCAGGCTCAGTCGATTCTAAGAGCAAAGATACAACTTCCCGCATCGATGGCCGATGAAAAGGAGACGAACTTGTGCACATTAGAGCGATTTTTAGGACTGTCAGCATGTGATTGACCGTGCCTTGATCTCGAAGATTCAGTCGCTGATCTAGCATTTCATACGACATCGAGTGGTCTCGCATATAGTTTTTGACCCACGTGACGAGATCACCTCCCTGATCGATCGGCTGTACCGGAGTTTTTCCAGTTAGCAGTTCTAGTAAAACGACCCCATAGCTATATATGTCACATTTTTCTGTGACCTTCATGGTGTATGCATATTCTGCAACAAATTAGGTGAGGTGGGAAGATTTAGTATTTCATTGACTACAAGTCTATAAACGAACAAATGAATGAAACGATTACCAGGAGCGATGTATCCATACGATCCCGCGACTGCTGACATCGACTTAGACTGAGGCATGTCCATTACTTTTGCTAAACCGAAATCACCAACATGAGCCTCGAAGTTATAATCGAGGAGAATGTTATTCGATTTGATATCGCGATGAACGATCCTTGGTTTGCAGCCATGGTGTAGATAATTAAGTCCCTCTGCAGCTCCAATGGCGATTGTAAACCGAGTCGGCCATTCCAAGTTACACGCCGTCCCGTGAAGCAACTCACCCAAACTACCCCTTTCCATGTACTCATAAAGAAGAAGATTTGAGCCTTGATGATTGCAAAAACCGTATAGTTTAACGATATTGCGATGTCGAATCTTTCCTAGTGTCGAAATCTCAGCTCGGAAGCTATTATCGATGTTGCTCCCTTCCCTGTTCGATGCTAACTTCTTGACTGCAATCGTCTGTCCAGAATGCATCACAGCCTTGTATACAGTTCCACACGCACCTTTTCCCACTACGCAGCTCTCGTGAAAACTATTAGTTGCTTCGATTAGATCTTCGAAAGTAAAACCTTCCTTAGGTGGGAAATAGACATCCGAATCCATTGATTGTGTTTCCTTGTTTTGCACGATTTCTGATGGATGTCTCATGCAATATAAGATGATCATAATAAGAACAATAGAAACTCCGCCTATAGCAGCTGCAATCCCGGTTATGATTCTACCTCGACGTGCATTTACGCTATCGAAAGATGGAATAGATGGAGACGATGAATCTCCATTGCAGTTGCCAAGAGGTTCGCCACAGAGCCCCTTGTTGCCAGTGAAGCTACTCGTGGGCATATTCTGAAACAAGGGTATCGAAGGGATTGGCCCGTGAAGGTCGTTGTAGGAGACGTTACAGCTCATTAAACTCGAAAGATTCGCAAAGGAGATCGGTATCTGACCGGACAAATGGTTGTTATTAAGCAGGAGATATTCCAATAGATTCAAACTTCCAAGCTCTGGTGGTATTGAACCAGTTAGCATATTGAAACTAAGATTCAAAGCAATTTGTAAGCTTTTCAAGAACCCCAACTCAAAAGGAATGCTACCAGAAAATGAATTGCCACCCATTTGCAAATCAGTCAAATGGGAGAGATTCATGAGTTCTTGAGGTATACTTCCAGAAAATTTATTCTCTGAAACTCTAAGAATCTCCAACTGTAAGAGAGATCCAATCTCCTTTGGCAAAGCGTTTTCGAAGCTATTGTGGCTGAGGTCGAGGCGTTGGAGGATCCTACAGTTGACTATCTCAGGTGGAATGGACCCCGTAAACCGATTTGACGAAACATTGAAAGTCACCAACCGTACGAGGTTTCCGATCTCGTTCGGCAAACTAGACATAAAGTAATTATTTGCAATATGTAGCCTTTGCAACTTATGGCAATTTTGAATCTCCGGAGGAAGAGGACCACTGAATCTATTGTGGTCCAAGTCAATAGCAGTAAGGTTCACCAGGTTACACAACTGGGTCGGAAAGCCACCGGTAAAGCGGTTAGCAACGAGACGAATCTGCGTCAACGGTTTGCAGTTCAAGATCCCGGTAGGTATGTTTCCATAAAGGTCATTCGACTCCAAGTTCAAGATGGAGAGGTTAGAACGATGACAGAGATGGGGAGGTATTCGTCCTGTCAAGAAGTTGTCTGAAAAGTCGATATCCGATAGGTAGCTATATCGACCGAGTCCTTTCGGAATGGGACCGCTCAAACTGTTGCTGAAAAGCTGCAATTGAAACAATGCAGGCATATACTGAAACCCGAACGGAACAGGGCCGGTGAGGGCGTTGATTGAAAGATCAAGTTTAGTCAAGTTAGTCAAGCTACTAAGTTCATTTGGTATAACACCAATCAGCTTATTTTGAAAGAGGTAAAGTAATTGGAGACCTTTTACGTTACCGAGCTCTTTCGGTATCTCACCGGTCAAATAATTCTCGGAGAAGTCTATCTCCGTTGCCAAAGAAAGGTTCCCGATCTCCCTGGGAATAGTTCCGTTCAATGCGGTTCGGTATATATACAAATACTTCAAAGAGATTAGGTTCCCAAACTCGTTGGGTATAGGTCCACCAAGATTGTTCTCATACAGAGCAAGCATAGTTAAACTTGTACAATTCCCAAGCTCTTTTGGTAGAACGCCAGAAAGCTGATTCTCCCACAGAATCAAGTGAGTCAAGTTTGTAAGCATGCCAAGCTCCTTTGGTAACTCCCCTTCTAACTGGTTTTGAGCAAGCCCAAGTATTTCCAAGTTCTCACACCCACCTATTTCACCCGGTAAGCTCCCCGAGATCGCGTTTTGCCCTGCTCTAAACGTTCTCAACCTCTTCAGATTCCCAAAAGAACGAGGCAACGAACCCGTGATATTGTTCGTATACGCAACTAACTCATACAACGATTTCAAGTTTCCCATCTCTTCAGGAAAAGAACCACGGATTCGATTATTACATATATTCAACGTAACCAAACAAGTGAGTCGTCCCAATTCATATGGAACTTCACCATCAAATTTATTGTTGTTCAAAGCAAGATATTCCAACTCCATACAATTTCCAATCTCTTTCGGTATTCTTCCACTGAATTCATTCCAGGAAAGATTGAGATAAGTCAAGTGGATTAAACTACCAACGCTCGAGCTTAAAGGACCTGACAGGTTCTTTAAGCTCAAGTCAAGGGACAAAACCACTCCTTCCTCACCACAACTACACCTTACACCACTCCATTCACATGGCGTTTCGTCGCTCCAATTCCAATTTCTTAACCAACCAAGCGGATCAGAAACAGCGTTTTTCAAGTCTAATAGAAAATGACCTTCTGAGTTCAACCCATGTGAGATGCTAAACAGAAAACCCAGAAGCACCAAACTCCCAACCACTTTCGAACCCCAAACCGACATGACTTCAACCTCTTAACTATCATCCCACCAAACACTTCAGTAGCTGCAAACGATTCAGACATCAAACACTAATACAATGTTGACAATCCTTCAAATCTCATTACATTCTTAAAGACAACAAGGGAATCCAAACAAAAATTCCCCCAGCTTTTAAGTCATCCGAACAAACAAACATCAGACAAGTCTTGTCACAGGAATCTATGAAAACCATATACGACAAACTGCTAAAATCTATGAAAAACCCATAGAAATGAGTGAGGAAAAAGAAAAGTACCTGTGGACTAGCGATTAAAATCATCATCAGCCGCCATAAATGAAGCAATAAAAGCATGAAATCCACCACTGTCTCTGTTACAATCTGTCTCTGTTACAATCAGGTAGAACAGCGAAACAGAGGCGAAACTTTCAAGGGCAAGGTTTGGCGCCTTTATTTGCTGCTTTTTGGAACCCCAGAAGCTGGCGATTGCGAAAGAATCGCAAAATCAACGCAGAGATTTGAAGTATTTTACGGAGTTAATGAAAACCCATCAAAGAATCAAGAACAGAGACATGAAGTTGAGATCCTTTAGGAATGATATTAATCGAAATGATGAAGAAAAGGGGTGGTTTCATAAGATGGGTATGATTTGAAGAGCTTATTTAGGTTGATTCTTGAGGGAAGGGTGAGATTAAAGCATAAAATCCTGCTCCGTGGAGTATGATGGAGCTCCTTCTGCTGTGCTGCCATTCATTACTAACCATTTCTTCTTTTTTGCGTTCTTCACTTTGTGAACAGAAACAACGCTTCGAATTTTCTCGGGATTTTTTTTTTTTTTTTTTTTAAATGTTTCTTCTTTTTCGTACTTCTCTGTGATTTTCCATTTCTTTATCAACTCAATTTCTTGTTCTACAAACTTTGAGGTGCAAATTTGAACTTCAAATTTTTTATTCTGGATCAAGTTTTTATTTAATTCTTGTCGAGTGTGATGTTACCGCCTCGTGTCCACCCTCCTGTGGGGCTCAATCTCCTCGCTCGCCCATAATTTGGTGGATTCTGGCACCATTTGTAATAGTTGAGTGTACCGTGTGTAGATATTGTCTCATTTAGATTTTTCCTTTTACGTTTTCCTCAACACTTATTAACACTTATTAAAACATGTTGCTTATATTTAAATAATTGAATTATGCTTATATTTTTTATAATGAGGTGTAATAATATTCTTCGAGAAGAAAATAGGTTAATTTGAATTATTATAAATTTATATAAATATAATATTAAGAAATCGGGATTAAGTCAATTAGGTGTATAATATATCTCAATTATGAATACATTCCGTCCTCAAATTTTTATCGTGGAACAAAAATAAAATATAACTAGTGGAGTGAGAATTAAAAAATATTATTTATATAAGTTTAAAATTTTATACCGTAAATGAATCGAGATTATATTGGAATAAGAGCCATCTTAAAGATAGAATGACTAAAAAAAGTGAACCTTCTTTTTCGGTGGCTCAATCATAGAAATTTGTGTTGGTGTGTGAAGATAGTCTCGACTCTTAAGAAGCTAGGAGGTGGAGTACTGGGGTACTGAATTTGGATCTAGAAATTTGGATCTGTAGAGATAGTCTTCGCTCTTAAGAAACGAGGAGGTCGAATACTGGGTATTTAATTTGGATTCAAAATTATGATCCAAATACTGGGCATGGGTCGTTTCATCCCTCATTCTCCACCTAAACAAAGTGTAACAGTCCAAGTTTTTCACTAGCAGATATTGTCTATTTTGGTTCGTTGTGTATCGTCATCTACCTCACGGTTTGAAAACGTGTCTACTAGAGAGAGGTTTCCACACCCTTATAGAGAATGTTCCGTTCCTCTCTCTAATTGATATGGGATCTCACGAAGATTCTTCAATCCATTTGTTTATTGAGCTCGAGAGATATAAATAATTTCAAAATTAAATATTGGGAAAAATAAAAATAAAAGAAATAGAAGTTGTTCCTTGCAAGGAATTTAATGGAAGAGAATTGTGGAGAGGAGAAGGGAAGGGACAGAAGATTGGACCGGGCCCAAAGAGATCAGAGAAATGGGCCCATTATAGGGCCCACAAAATTTGGTGGTGGGCCCACCCAAACCCACTAATAAAAGTATAATATTAAAAATAAAAATAAAAAAAGCCGACGTCAAAATCAAACGGCTCACATTTGCTTAAGAGTCCAACAAACAATCATTCACCGTTGAAAGAATGGGATAGGATGTGAGAAGTGCCCACTTTGCTGGTACTCACTATAATTATTGGTTTTTTAATTTTTAAATATTATTTTTCTTCCATATTGCTTTTATAAATGTCCAATTTTAATAATTGTATTTTTTTTTATTAACTTTAAATTTTAGTTTTTTTATTTATAAATTTTAATTCGTACTCGTGATCTCACCAAATGTGTATTATTTTATATGTATAATTTTATGTTTATACTAAAGTCTCAAACTTTATATTATGTGTATTAATGTAATATAGTTGTTATGCCTAGATGCTTACAAATAAATAAATATGATAGAGACAAAAAGGAGAGTGACATCTTTCTAGAAGCAATGCAAACCCATGTCACCTCTAGTGAAGGTGGTAGGCAAAATTAGGACTAAAGAGAGAAAAATAAATTAAGACCGAGAAGTTAGGTTTATCTGGCTCTGCTCTCGTGTAACCCACTTTTTTCATTTGGTCGTTCTGAAAAATTTAGAACGCTGTGGAACCAAAAATTTAAACAGTGACACTCGAGTAAACTAAAGGTACATGAATCAATTGAGACCGCGTTCGAATGAGAGTAATCATGAGGAGAGGATGACTAAGAATTGAGGACAATTCATTCTGGAAGGACTCGTGTTGGTCGGTAGAGGATAGTTTTTGCTCTTATAATCGAAGAGTAAGTAACGTAACCATGTTGCAGGGGATGCAGAGAATGTCGAGGTCGGGGCCATTGAGTGCAGAATAAAGATTTTAAATTCTAGACATGGGCCGTTACAATATTACCGGTGTTCCAAGTCAAAGCATTATAATTAGAGTTCGAGATAACTCACACTTTTAGGCCTAAAAGTTTAGCATTTGTGGGATATATATATATATATTAATAAGCACGTGCATAGCTCATGGTTAGAAGTAATGGTTTGGTATATGCTTCTTTATTTTATTCAATGCAAATGATGCTTGGAATTAAGGAGTAATTCTTTTAGTTTTTTAAGAACAAAAGTTAGTGAAACATATTAAATTATTGTTTTTATTATTAAACTTAGTCTATAAATTTTAAGGTATGGTTTTATGTAGTTTTCGAGAGAATAATAGTGTTTATCTATGAAACAAATATGTTAATTTAGATGACATAAAAATTGAATAATTTAACGAAATAAAGTGAATTTGTATATGCCATGTTGTAATTGAAAGAGAATTCGAACCCACTTCTTGAAATGGATATCAAATCACTTTTATAGGTCAGATCTGACCCCGCTCCATTTTGTTAACGCCTCTACAATATGTTGTGGTTGAAAGTTTCGATCTTGAATGTATATGCTATGTTGTGATTGAAAGAAAAGTCGAACCCACTTCTTGAAACGGGATATCTAATCACTTTTCATCTGACTCCACTCCATTTTGTGGACGTCTCTACAGTATGTTATTGTTGAAAGTTTCGATCTTGAGTGGAAGTGGACAACGGATTTTGTGTATACTATGTTATGATTTAAAGAAAACTCGAACCCTCTTCTTGAAACGGGATATCAAATACTTTTATAAGTAACATTTGACTCCGTTCCATTTTGTAAACGTCTCTACAGTATGTTATTGTTGAAAGTTTCGATCTTAAGTGGGAGTGGACAACAGAGTTTGTGTATATTATGTTATGATTGAAAGAAAACTCGAACCCACTTCTTGAAACGGGATATCTAATCATTTTTATTAGTTACATCTGACTCCACTCCCTTTTGTGGACGTCTCTATAGTATGTTACAGTTGAAAGTTTCGATCTTGAGTGGAAGTGTACAACGAATTTGTGTATACTATACCATGATTGAAAGAAAACTCGAACCCACTTCTTGAAATGGGATATTAAATCACTTTTATAAGTAACATCTGAATCCACTCCATTTCGTTGATGTCTCTACAGTATGCTACAGTTGAAAATTTCGATCTTGAATGGAAGTGTAAAATGAATTTGTGTATGCTCAAACCCACTTCTTGAAACGAGATATCTAATCACTTTCATAAGTTACATTTGACTCCGCTCCATTTTGTGGACATCTCTACTGTCTATTATAGTTGAAAGTTTCGATCTTGAGTGGAAGTGGACAACGAATTTTGTGTATGCTATGCTATGATTGAAAGAAAACTCGAGAGTCCAGTTCTTAAAACGGGATATCTAATTACTTTATAAAGATTCCGCTCCATTTTGTTGACGTATCTACAGTATGCTATGGTTGAAATTTTCGATCCCGATTGACCTAAAACGCAAAGACGAAAGTGTAGCTTTTCAAATCAAAATCCACAAAATACCACAATAGGAAATGGGAACAATAAAGAATGAAAAGGAGGTAAAAAGATGGGGAAAAGTGAAGAAGAACAACACACATTTGATAGCTTTTTTAAGTGTGTGGGGTCTTTTGTCTTTGGATGGGCAAATGGAAAACCCACAAAAAAAAGAACACAAACCCTTATCTCAAGCTTGCACCAATGAATGTGGTGGTTTATTATCAATATCACTATAAATACTAATCATAAAATAATATATATACAGATATTCATCGATATCCATCAATATATCGATATCGACACCTTACCCAGGATAGATCTGCTCGTTGATTCCACTATCGGATATTCAATCTTCTATATAAAGCTTCTCATCAAATAGCAATGGAAGAAGACGATTCTTTCATTAACAAAGAAGGAACTGTTATACCATATTCAATGCTCGGTCAAAATTCAAAAGTTTGACTTTCCACACGTAGAGATTAAGAGTCGAAGTTTTGGTGTTTTTTTTTCTTATCCATTCATACTCGTTATGTAACAGCTAAGCCCACTGTTAGCAGAAAATTGTCTGCTTTGGTCACGTATTGTCATCAACATCACAGTTTTAAAACATGTCTACTAATGTTTTGTTTCCCTCTCCCCAACTGATGTGGAATCTCGTAATCTACCCCTAGCTCAAGTCCACCGCTAGCAAATGTTGTCCATTTTGGCCCATTATATATTGTCATTAGCCTCATGGTTTTAAAACGCCGCTCCACACCTTGTAAGAAATGTTTCATTTCCCTCTCCAAATGTGAGATCAATATCCTCACGGTGTTACGTATTGCCATTAGCCTCACGGTTTCAAAATGCATCTACAAAGAAGAGGTTTCCACACCCTTGTAAGAAATATTTCGTTTCTCTAGATCTCACAATCCACCCACTTGGGCCGCATCTTCGCTAGCACATCGCCCCGTGTTTGGCTCTAATACTATTTGTAACAGCATAAACACACTGCTAGCAAACATTATCCGCTTTAGCCCATTATGTATCACAATCAATCTCACAATCTTAAAACTGGTCTACAACAATATGCATAGATTATGTATCACAATTAATTAAAATATTTTTTTAAAAAATTAATTATCAAAATAGAGGCTATTATTAAAACCTCCATGAACTTAGTTAAAACAAATTGGGCCAATACTATTGGGCCGAACCGGGTCGGGTCGGGTCGGGTCTAACATTGATTCTCTTTCTTTACGTAAGATAATAATTTCTTCACTAACGTCTCGACACCAATAAATAAATAAATAATTTATAGAAAAATAATAAATAAAATCGCGACTAATTAAATTAATAACATTTTTA